TGCTCATATTCATTTGATTAGCCCCTTTTAGGGGCCGCAAAAATTAAAAATAGAAATACTTTTAAACATCTTCTCCTACAGAACTTATTGATGGATGATCACCAAACTTTGTCTGTAGCATTTTTGGGTAATCTTTTATCAAGTTTGCTCATATTCATTTGATTGGCCCCATTTTAGGGGCTGCTTAAGCTAAAAATAGAAAAAGCTTTTAACATCTTCTACTTCAGAACCAATTGATGGATATTCACCAAATTTTGTTTGTAGCATTCTTGGGTACTCTTTTATCAAGTTTGCTTATATTTATTAGATTAGGCCCTTTTAGGGGCCACTAGAGCTGAAAATAGAAAAAACCTTCGAACATCGTTTCCTACTGAAATAATTGAAAGATGAACACCAAACTTTGTAATATTCTTAGGTAGTTTTTTATCAAGTTTGCTCATATTAATTTGATTAGCTTGGTTTAAGCAAAGCTTAGATACCTCAGGTCATTGCATTTTTTTCAAATTATTGTTTAAACATATTCTATGCTCAAATTTAATATTAAAATATATATATACATTCTTACACTGAAAAGCAGTTGTTTCTGGTGAGCGACTCGGGGCCATCATGGCCCTTTTGTTTTTCATCTAATTAAAACATGACGCTATGCTTTCAGGCTGACACGGGTTCATATGGACGAGTTTCGTATTCCAAGCGAACAACTGAGAAAAGGAATGCTGCCGGGAGCCAAATTAGACGTTTTCTTCCCAGGATTTCCTACGCTAAAACATATTCCACATCATGTATGTCCTATAAGTTTTACATCTTCAGATAATATGTAGCACTTTGATCATTTATTGCATTTTAGATTTATCACTTACTTCACTAGACGTTAGTGTAGAGTTCTTAAGATTCTCACTAAGGTGCAGGCATCCATTGCTAAGTGGTCAAAGTCACTGCTTATCAAGCGAAGGCATTAAATTTTTTTCTACCTTATTAGCTTGGCAAAGGTCTGTGGTTCTACTCTTCTTCTTGGGCAGAAATGAAAATAAAAGCAAAAGTTTCTTAAATATTTAAGACATCACGATTTCATAGTTTACATACATATAAAATGAATAAGGTTGGGAAAAATAGATCGAAAAAACTTTCAAGAAATAAAAACAACTGTACTGCAAAGGTTGTAAGAGCACTTCTATTCATTTATGACGTCAAACCTTCGTGTTAAAGTGTTTGTTAAAGTTTGACATCACATGTCCATTAACAGGTCCATTAACAGAACACTTGCCATAAAGAATGAGAATAAGATACATGTAACTTTTCGTTGGCAAAAGTGCCAAATAAAACCACATACTTTATGTGTCTCACATGGTGAAATAATAGCTTAACTTGAAACAGGAAAAGTGATGGTATAGTATTAGTATTACAAAAAAGGAAATTAAGATTTCAGAAATAAATAGTGGTATAGTACTTGTGTTGAGTAAATTTGGTCAACTATTACACAAAGAGGTAATTAAACATAAATTACAGGCTGAGTTAAGTAAAGAGGGGGTAAAGGTGTTCCAGATGAACAGTCGAGGGTACAATACCATGCTGTACATTGAACAAGAAGAGGAAGAACCTGTAAGTATACAAGTTATAAATCATTCTTCTTAGATTTGGTGGTGTTCAACCTCATGAAATTGGTGAGAGAATAGATAAATGAAATACTGTTGATGAGTTTAAATTAACCTTTGCCACAATAATACTGTATATCTGAAATAGATTAGTCCATCTTTCAATCTAAATTTATTACAGTAAAAACTCTGAAAACCGGACCCTCTGAAAACCGGAATCCTCTGAAAACCGGACCATTTCAGAAGTCCCATATTTTCTCCTTATATGTTCATTGAAAAAAATAAAAGATAAAAATAAAAAGAAAAAAAATCCTCTGAATACCGGAACCTCTGAATTCCGAAAACCGGACGCTTTTCTGTGGCTTCTGATGCTTAACATGCATAAAAAATCCTCTGATAACCGGACAGCAATTTTAAGTGTCAACTTTCTGTGTATTTTAGAGGGTAGCAAGACACCTCACCCCCCAGACGCTTCACCCCTCAAATTTTGAAGACACTTCACCCCTTAAGACACTTCACCCCCCAAAATCAGTAAGACACTTCACCCCTCATCCAATTTTTTTCTATAAAGTAAATAAAACAAGTTGGTCAACAACAAAATGCTTATATCTGTTTATATTTATTATTTTTAGTATTATTTGATTAAAATTTTTGCTTATTACCTTTATTTTTACTTAAAGTTTAAAGCTGAATAGGTTAATTGGTTGTATTGCCAAATTATGATATATCAAAATATAGTAAATATAAATTATTTATCATCATTATCAGACACAATAATCCTGCATTTAATACAAAGATCATTCATAATGTCATTTATTAAACAAATAAATAGCACCACATATGTAAATTAAGCACAAGGTTAAAGCACAAACCATCACCAAATGAACATAACTCAATGGTTATTATATGGTAAGGATCAAACTGAAAACAAACTTAAGTACCAAAACTTCAAGAATTAAATCAAATCAAAATTTATTAGACAATGGGTTAAAACAATAAACATACTCAATCACTATTGAATGTATTTAACATATTCTACATAAATAATTGGCATAATTGTTAAACACAAAATAAAAAAATGAGGGGTGAAGTGTCTCAATCAAATTTCTTAAAATGAGGGGTGAACTGTCTGAGGGGTGAAGTGTCTGCAAAAAAGGGCCTAGGGTGAAGTGTCTGGGGGGTGAAGTGTCTGTAAGCCTTTTAGAGTATATTAAAACATAATCTAAACAGGTGACATGTTCAATTACCAGTTAATGATCACCTTTTTTATCAATGCAGGTGTGAAAACACTTGTTAGTGTTTGTTAATTTCTTATTGGCAATTAAATTATAGCTCTTTCATTATAATTGTGCCTTTCCCTGTATAGGTATGTTTTTTTATGCCCCCACAATGTGGGAGCATATAGCGTTGCACTTGTCCGTCCGTCAGTCCGTCCGTACATCCCGAAATCTTGTGAACGCAACTCCTCTTAAACCGGATGGCAGATTTTGCTTAAACTTACAGGGATGAACAACCTTAATGTGTAGATGGTAGTAAAGGAAGGAATTTTCGCTGCGACCAAATTTAACAGAATTATGGCCCTTTGTTGATTTTTTCACTAGATACTATGTAGAAATTTTGTGAACGCAACTCCTCTTAAACCGGATGGCAAGATTTTGCTTAAACTTACAGGGATGAACAACCTAAATGTGTAGATGGTAGTTAAAGGAATGAATTTTTGCTGCGACCAAAATTTAACAGAATTATGGCCCTTTGTTTGATTTTTTCACTAGATACTATGTAGAAATTTTGTGACGCAACTCCTCTTAAACCGGATGGCAGATTTTGCTTAAACTTACAGGGATGAACAACCTTAAGGTGTAGATGGTAGTAAAGGAAGGAATTTTTGCTGCGACCAAATTTAAAAGAATTAATGGCCCTTTGTTGATTTTTTCAACTTATATACTATGTAGAAATTTTGTGAACGCAACTCCTCTTAAACCGGATGGCAGATTTTGCTTAAACTTACAGGGATGAACAACCTTAATGTGTAGATGGCAGTAAAGGAAGGAATTTTTCCTGCTACCAAATTTAACAGAATTATGGCCCTTTGTTGATTTTTTCACTATATACTATGTAGAAATTTTGTGAACGCAACTCCTCTTAAACCGGATGGCAGATTTTGCTTAAACTTCCAGGGATGAACAACCCTAATGTGTAGATGGCAGTAAAGGAAGGAATTTTTGCTGCAACCAAATTTAACAGAATTATGGCCCTTTGTTGATTTTTTAGCTCGACTATGCGAAGTATATGGAGAGCTGTCCTACTCGCCCCGGCGACGGCGTCCGCGTCCAGATTTTGGATTAAAGTTTTGGTGCAGTAAAATATTTTTCACTATAACTTTGTCATTTCTTAAGGTATCAACTTCAAACTTCAAATATATGTTCCTTATCATCAACCACATATTATGTGACAAGGTTCATAACTCTAGCACGAATATTTTCAGATTTATCTCCCCTTGAACTTAGAATTTTCCTTAAAAAATACTATTTTTTACTGATACTTCTTTATTTCTTAAGGGATCAACCTCATACTTCAAATATATGTACCTTATCATCATCCCCGTCTTATGTGACAAGGTTCATAACTCTAGCACCAATATTTTCAGATTTATCTCCCCTTGAACTTAGAATTTTCCTCAAAAAATACTATTTATTCTTTATTTCTTAAGGGATCAACCTCATACTTCAAATATATTTACGTTATCATCATCCCCATCTTATGTGACAAGGTTCATAACTCTAGCACCAATATTTTCAGATTTATCTCCCTTTGAACTTAGAATTTTCCATACAAAATATTATTTTTTACACTAACTTATTTATTTCTAAAGGGATCAACTTCATACTTCAAATATATTTACCTTATCATCATCCACATCTTATGTGACAAGGTTCATAACTCTAGCACCAATATTGCAAGAATTATCTCCCCATAAACTTAGATTAATTTACTAGAAAAATGTTATTTTTTATTTTAACTTTTTTTTTTTAAACGTATCTACCTCAAACTTCAAATACTTATTCCTTATCATCAATTACATTTTATGTGACAATGTTCATAACTCTTGAAGCAATATTTACAGATTTATCTCTCTTTGAACTTAGGATTTTCTTTAAGAAATATAATAACTTCTTTATTTTTTAAGGTATTACTTCAAACTTCAAATATATATTTCTTATCATTACACAAATGTTGTGTGGCAAGGTCCATAACTCTAGCATTTGACTATTTCTAGAATTATTCACCTTGATCTTGGAATTTATGTTAACAAATGTTATTTTTTTACTATAACTTAATACATAATTATACATAATTGATTTTTCTTTCATAGTTTTGTCCTCCTTACTGCGACCAGTATTTTATTAGTCAAGCTTCGCTGTCTCCTGTGACAGCTCTTGTTCATTATATTCTATGTGAAATTTTGTGAACGCAACTCCTCTTAAACCGGATGGCAGATTTTGCTTAAACTTCCAGGGATGAACAACCTTAATGTGTAGATGGTAGTAAAGGAAGGAATTTTTGCTGCGACCAAATTTAACAGAATTATGGCCCTTTGTTGATTTTTAGTTTTCAACTTGTGGCACATGTAGTCCAAAAAATATTTGACCTAGAGTCATAAGATTGACAGAACAGTGGCGTGTGGGGGCATCCGTGTCCTATGGACACATTTCTAGTTCTAAATGTTTTTTATTTGTTGTGTGTTTTTTCTTCTTTAAATATAAAATGTCTAAAAGAATTAGAAATTTTTGTAAAATGATTCCTATTTGCTAAAACTTTTGATCTGTGTTTGGATATTTATTATATGCAAGAATAGTAAAACTAAATTCCATTAATTACATATTTCAAAAGCCAATTAAAAAGATTTTTTTCAGACAATGTGTTGTTTTAATTTCTGATTTTCTGAATTATATTCAAGGATTTGCATAATAAAATTACTTAAGACATTTATTGCTAAAAGAAATTAAAATATGACTTAGACAAAAATGTTAAAAAGTAAATACAAAATGTTTTAACAAAGTCATTGTTCAAACACATTATAATTATCAATAAATGTATAAAACCTCTGAAAACCGGAATCCTCTGAAAACCGGACTTTTGGTCAAGTCCGGAGAGGGTCCGGTTTTCAGAGTTTTTACTGTAGTAGTTAATTATTAGTAGAAAGAGGATATTGAGCCTCTGGCAAACAAAATATCGTTTTATTTAAAGAGTTCAACAAATTCTGTAATGAACCTACAGGAATATAACATTTAGCAGGACTTTAACGCAAATAATGTCATGTTAAAGTTAATGCATAGAGTTGCAAAATTGGCATGGGTATGTGATAAACTTTGTTAATGTATTAGATTAAAGACTGTTCATAATAGTTTATTTTCACTTGTCACATTAGATAATACAACTTAATTTCTCAATTTGTCTTGTGGAGTAATATTTTTCCCTGTGAATTACAAATAACAACATTATATTCTTTTTTTTTCATGTAGGACATAGACAAAGTAGCAAAGGAATATTTAGGAAGAGAAATCTATGTTGGTTGGCCACATATGTATGAGGCTAAAGTTATTGCAGTCAGTAACAGTGAATACAGGTAAAACAATTGTAAACTTGATCCATGTACTAAAGCAGCATACCTCCAGATTCATGCCAGTTTTTATGAAAATTTTAAAATGTATTAAAATGCTACATGTAAATATTGTCTGGTGAACAAAGAAACAAGTAACATTGCAAAACCATGTTTCCTTGTTGTAAACAACTACAAAAATAAGGTTGAAATGACCTTGACCTTGAGCGTTAAATGACATTGATCATCAAGGTTAAATTATTAATTAAGTTTTGGTAAAATTGTTGTTATTTTGTTATTTATGTACAGATTTGATTTATATGTGGACAAAACAACACTTGAACAACAAATGAACATGTTGAATACTTTAGATTAGAACTTGACCGTCAAATGATTGAAGTCTGTTGATACTTTCTTAAATTTGTCATTTATTTATGGAAATGATTCATACTTGCACAAAAAAAAAGAAATAGGACTAGACAGACATATGTAAAAATGAAAAAAAACAACAACAAGAACTGGTCCTATACTGGCAGCCAGGGCTTTAACAAATTCAGTTTCAGTGGAGTAAAGGTAAACATATTCTCATTCAGTTACACACAAGAGGAACCAGCTGGCGGTAAAGGTAAAGCTGGGAACCATCGACCACAGATCAAAAGAGAACAGATAGATGAAAGTACTTATACAATATACTCAAAGGAAATCAGCACTATTGCTGAAAGGTTGGTTTGTTATCTCATGTTTTGTAGAAAAAGTTAGGCTATTATAATCGCTGCAGTGGCATTGTTGTCATAGTGCAAAATCTTTAATGTAGCCCATTATTCAAATATTTTAAAATTTATCAACATGAAATACATAATGTGTACTGTGATGATGCTTAAAATTCTGCCTTGAAAACTTCGAGAAGAGCTTATATTGCCTTTTATGGGTCTTTACCCGAAAGTGACATTGATTTGTCTGCAGTTTCTCCAGTGTGTTCATGTTTTTATCTGTGTCAAAGTGGTGTCCATCTTTGCCACATTAAAATGCTTGTTATAAAGGTCATCTGTAAGATTTGATTTAACCAGAATCACTGTCACTAGGTCACTGCTCTATACTTTTATCAGGAAATTCTCAAAAAAATTAAAAACTTGTGTTGACTTGCATTTGATATTTACTGGACTAATTTCTGTTTCAGGTATAAAGACAGACTGGGAATAGTCATTGGTGACACACATATTTTACTGAGGGCCTTACCTATGACTGGCAGAAAGTAAGATATTTGTTACGAAACAGTTCTAGAAATATAAATTAGGCAGTATACTGAATGACAATTCTTCTTCATATAGCTTTGAGTTTTAACATAACACTATTCATTAACACAGAAATAGGAAAATGATAATATTGTCTTATATTTTTAAGAATAAGTATTATATACATTGTATTTCATACTGGTAGTATAGTCTTTGTATTTCTTTGAACAAGGATGATATAACTGTAACTTGGATGTATATTTCCATGACAGGTATATATTCAGTTCTCATGGCAGAGTAACTATGGATAAACAGTTTGGAAAGTTACCTGTGGCATTTGCTAAACAAGCCACAGTAAAGGTAAGATAATTTTCATGAGGGCCACATTAAATTGATCTTTTGTTATTTGGATCATGCATCACTCTGTTTTGTAGGCTTTAAAAAAAATGTTTTGTTTCAAACCACTCATGAAAAACTAAAGCAGACCTGAAAATTAGAAATATTTGTGCCACAAGTGAAACTTTACTCTAATGAAGTAGATAAGCATTTTACAATAGGTTTTTATATGCCCGAAAATTTTTTGGGCATATTATGTTATACCCCTTTGCATCTGTCCATTTGTCCGTCCGTTAGCAATTTGGTTTCCTTAAGTTCCATTTGGCCCACAATATTCAAACTTCATAGGATGATTGACTGTATTGGGTAGAAGACCCCTATTGATTTTGGGGTCACATGGTCAAAGGTAAAGGTCACTATTACCTTTAAACTGAAAACAGTTTCCGGAGCATAACTTAAGTTCCATTTGGCCATCAGTGTTCAAACTTCATAGGATGATTGTCCATGTTGGGTAGAAGGAAGACCCTTATTGATTTTGGGGTCACAAGGTCAAAGGTCAAGGTCACTATTACCTTAAAACTGAAAACAGTTTCAGGAGCATAACTTAAGTTACATTTGGCGCACAGTGTTCAAACTTCATAGGATGATTGTCCATATTAGTTAGAAGACCCCTATCGATTTTGGGGTCACAAGGTCAATGGTCAAGGTCACTATTACCTTAAAACTGAAAACAGTTTCCGGAGCACACGTTAATTCCATTTTGCCCACAATATTCAAACTTCATAAGAGGATTGCTATTTGAAGGAAGTAATACTTTATTTAATTCCCATGTCTTACAAATGCTTCATCCTTACTGAGAAAAAAAAACAACACTTTCGGGCATATAATGCTCCACCTAGCAGCGCTCTTGTTAATCTTCAATTGTAATTAAGCATGTTTTAGATTCTGTTAGCCCTTTGGAATTGGCATCAATATTTTCTCACCATACTATTATACATCCAAATTTATTGGATTAACTGAATTCAATCTAATAATATTGAAGCTGTCCATATTCTTGTTGTTAAGGTCGATGACTTCAAAACACTTGCCTCTCACAACTTTGGAACTTTTCATATGAGAAAGCTATCCATCTAGCTTATGGAATGTGGTAGGTTCTACACAGGTGCTTTGTGTCTGAAATAATGCATGAATGTGTACCTGAAGTCTTCCACCGTCAGTAAAGCTGGAAAGTTGCCATATCAACAATACTGTAATTGTGTGATGTAAAACCTTACCAAATAAAAAAAATATTATTATCCCAGGGAAAAACAATGAGGTATGAATGGATCAAAGTTATTAAACATAAGCATGTTATGCTCAGAATTGATTTGAAGTTTCCTATGATTAATTTAAGTCGTATGTGACAGGATTTTTTGTACTGTAAATAATGTAACATGACCCAATTTCACTCTGATTTCAGGATATAGCTGTACATGATTCAGGTTTCTGTCAGTTCCGCACATTAAAGGACTATCTTCCTGAGGGAACTGCTGTATTCATGCTTGGTTGGCCACATTACGCTTGCCAAGGGGAGGTAATAGAGACAGATACAGAGAGTGGGCGTGTCCGTATCAATCTATCCATCTTAGAGGAACCGCAGCTCTCCAATGTCATTAATCATCAACAGGTATTGGATATTTTTTGCTAATTTTTCCTCCTTTCTTTAAAGAGAATCCATTTTCAATTAATGTTTTAAAATGTCTATTATTGTTTGTACTTATTGTCTGTAATTTGGTGAAGTAGTTGTGACTACTATACTCCTATTATCAGGTAACGTGTTTGTCTGGTTTTCTACTCCGATTTCAACACAGTTTTCCTCATATCTTGTTGGTTGATCCACCAAATCAGCTTTCCAGGTTAAGTAATTAATTACCAATTTCTCCATAAGTAACCAACTACTTATCTCTCTTGATTTCTGAATCAGCAGTGACAGACAAATGACAGTAAGACTCTATGTCCGATACATTTTGTCACTGAGAAATTTTGCCTTGCCTATTAGTAGGTAGAATTGAAGTGTGGTCATGAGACAGCTTGTAATTATGGAAGTGTAGTCATGTGAAAGCATGTAATTATGAAAGTGTGGTCATGAGAAAGCATGTGATTATGGAAGTGTAGTCATGTGAAAGCATGTGATTATGGAAGTGTGGTCATGTGAAAGCTTGTAATTATGGAAGTGTAGTCATGTGAAAGCATGTGATTATGAAAGTGTGGTCATGAGAAAGCATGTGATTATGGAAGTGTAGTCATGTGAAAGCATGTGATTATGGAAGTGTGGTCATGAGAAAACATGATTATGAAAGTGTTGTTATGTGAAAGAATGTGATAAGTGAAGTGTGGTTATGAGAAAGCATGTGATTATGGAAGTGTGGTTATATGAAAGAATGTGATTATGGAAGTTCGGTCATGTGAAAGCATGTGATTATGGAAGTGTGGTTATGTGAAAGCATGTGATTATGGAAGTGTGGTTATGAGAAAGCATGTTATAATGGAAGTGTGGTCTTAAGAAAGCATGTGATTATGGAAGTGTGGTTATGTGAAAGAATGTGATTATGGAAGTATGGTCATGAGAAAACATGTGATTATGGAAGGTTTTTTCATGTGAAAGTATGTGATTGTTGATGCTGAAATAAAAAAAATTACAGCATTACAGGTCAAGATGTTTATAGTCATAAAGTTTTGTTTTCCGTCATTGTGTGAACCATGTTTGATCTTTATTAAAAGGTTAATTTGAGGGTATAACTTGTATTGAGGATATTGGTTCTGCCCGGTTACCTATTAGTAGTTTAAACAAACCTGAGATGCACATTAGCTTTTTGTTTTCTTTAATAATTTTCATTAATTTTATCTGTATAAAAGCCTGAAAAATAATGTTGATTAAAAGTTGAGATTATTGAGTAGCCTTTTTTTTTCTTTATACACTTCAGATACATCCATCAATGGTATGGTAGCGTTTTAGCGTGTTTTTTTTTCTGCTTTGTTGCCTTTTAACATGATTTTTACCATTATCATCCAGTCATGTGACCTTGACCTTTTGAATACTCATTACCAATATAGAGTCCATCTATCCTACATATCTTTGCAGTTAGACAAGACCCTGTACTGCTGCCTAATGAATTTTAGTGTTAATATACAAAACTTTCGTAAACTACTTAACCCTTAAGTGCTGGAACCGAAAGCTTTAAGCCCTTCGCACATTCGCACAGTCTGACCAGGCTCTATACTGTTGGCTGACAAACTTTAAATATTTAAATTGATATTCCTAAAATTGATAATGGACATACCCAAAAATGGAAGTGGGACAAGTCCATTTAAAATATTCAGCATGTTAAGAGTTAATCATGGACAGTTTCATGTTTAAAGTAAGTTCTATATAGTTCTATACTTACTTACTGTAGTCTAATGCTTTAAATTCTTGTAGAGAAATTTCCTGTTTTCCGTTCTAAAATTATATTTTTCATGTGCGTTTTCATGAATTTATGCCATTTTGTTGTCCAAGTGGGAAGTGTTGCTGAATAAAATATAAACGTATCATTATGGTACTAACTATTGGACATTTAGTTTTGTTAATATTAAAAAGATAATTATGCTACAGTGGCTTCTACAAGATAAAAGTTTATTATTTACTTATGACTGAAATATTGAGAAATATGTTTTGTCTGTTTTCGTTTTTTCACTGTAAAACTTAAATTTTCACTGAAGTGACACAGATTTTCCATATTTTCACGGGTGTTTTGCAGGAATCATAACTTTCTTCTAAATTCAGCCTGGGCCCTGGTTCCACTCACAAAATACTTGAAAGAAAATCATTGTGTACATACTGTCAACTGCACAGTTCATCATATTTGTTCCCAATCTTCACTGTCCATTACACCCATCCTATTTACACACCCATCATATACATGTATGAGATCTATGATTTTGAACATGCACTGTTTGACTGTGGCAGCATATACATATTCATTCACAGCAGCGTGATTTAACCCTTTACCTCATATATATACGCGAAACAACGCACTTTCAACCCCCCCCCCCCCCCCCCCTTTTAAGCCCCAAACACATGTTTTCGTTTGAGAAATGTTGATAATAAAAGTTAACACTTTTTCGGCGCACCCTCCATCCAAAAGATACATCAGGGGATGTGCCCCCTTCTGTTTTGGGGGGTTTGAAGGGGGGGTAGTCCCCCTCATTGCCAAGAAAATTTTGGACTTGTGAGAGGATAAAAATGACCCCAGATCGATCATAAGGTAATGTGTAGCCAACACTGAAAAGCCTTTGACTCTATCTCAATCAATTGAGAAGTTGCAGCACTTTAAAATCAATTTTGATGGAAAAAATCAATGCAAAATAGTGATTTTTGGCAATTTTGAGATGTCCCCTCATTGCCATGGTAACAGGAAATTTAAGCCTGAGCATGATGTTGCAAATGTAATGGTCCAGTCAACATATTTGTGCCAAGTTTGACTAGTATTGAAGCAGTTTTTATAGTTTTATAGCAATTTGAACTTGTAAAGGGAGACTTCAATGAAAACAGCCATTTTTCACAAAATGCTCATGAAGTTATGGGTTAATAAAAGATAACTTGATTTAACTAATGATCATTAATGTTAAGGGCTTTCAATGGGCTTAAACAATCAATTCCATAGCTCCATAAGCTAAAAACAGACCTGTCATAAAAACCCTTTTTCAGGTAATTTTAAAAGTTTTTCATTTATAATCACAAAGGTTGCCATTTCTTCCATCAGTATTTTTGCACACTAAATAGATCAATTTCCAATGAAATAATTATTTGCTGCTTGACTATTTTTTCGCCTTTTTATTGCTTCATGTGGACTTATTAAATCAACTGTCATTTTGATTCATTTTTATGATGATCTGTTTCCAATTTTGCTGAAGTGGTCTAGTGGTTTTTACATAATATTATAGAGGGTGAATTTAAATGTGTTAATTCTTACTGTGCTATTTAACATAAACAGATTTTTTCATCTTTTAATCTGGAAAAAAAACCATTAGTCATTTTTAGGGAAAATTCTAAATAAGTACTGGCTGAAGGGTGAACAGTGCAGACCACGATCAGACCACAGAGATGTGCCAACTAATTTTGGTCTGCACTGTTCAGATGGGTAGAATGTGTTACTACTAGCATGCTGAGGGTTAAAAGGTTAACATAATTTGATTATAAAACATTATGAGAATAATGTATAGAGATCTTCAGTGACTGTGTCCATGTTTTCTACCCATCGACTGATGCAGGAAAAATAACTGTTTAAATATATATGAATGCATTTGTAGTGTAATTTGGCTTACATGTGCTTGCATTCGTTTATATTACACAATTTTACTATGTTCAGATTGTATTTTTTTTATTGGTGAATATTAAAGGAACTCCACTGAGGTCCAATAGCCTAAAATTATGAAATTTGGAATTCTTTCATAACCGAACGGGTGCACTTAAAATTAAAAAAACAAAACAACTATGCAATAGATGATATATAAATATATTCAGTAGTAAATAAAAATTCAATTTATATGAGAATTTTTGGCTGATTTGGGTCAATTTGCACAATAAAATGGATTAATCATAGGAAACAGAGTAATCGAATGATCTGAAATTTTGTACACTTTCATTGGTCAATGCCTACATCCAGTTATACAAAAACATTTAAAAAGTATTTCTGGTCGCTTTATGTAAAAAAAAAAACTCAGTGGAGTGAGTCCCTTTAAAGCAAGCCTTCTAATTTAGTGATATTTCATTATTATATTTTTATCTAAATGATAAAGCTGTGTTCAATTTTAAGCAAGATTAGCCTATGGCTTGCCTTTTATGGCTGAGTTGTAAAGGTTGCTAACGTTAAATATTTTGATCCTTATCGGTTTGAATCCTGCTAGCTATCAGAATGTCTGGGTGAATGCTAGAATATATTATTTTTTATAATCAAGGTAGATAACCCTCCCCATACTGTGCTTGAAATGGTACTGAATGTGGTCCCTCAGAAAATGTCGTTTTTTCACTCACTTTCAATAATATTTCAAAGAAAATTCTTTGCTAGAGACATCTCATATTTTTCCTCTTTCTTTTAATTATTTTCTGAAACAAACTATCTAGTAGACAAAAAAAAGGAAAAAGAACTAATAAATTAATTTATAGATTTTAGTCTATTATAGCATAAAATCGGCTATTTTCCCCTCTTTTGCCCATGTTATAACGGGACCAAAACCATGTGTTAACATGGTCACGCGCTCTTGTTATAGCCCGGTTTTAGCTATGCGCAATACATACAGGGCCCAGTAAACAAACAAACAAAAAAGAAACAATTTGGCCTGTTTGTCAAAGAGTCATGCGCTCTTATATTGAAATTATTGATTCGAGGGCATCAGTCGCATAAAACGGCGAGCAGCATTCCAGTAACTATGCCGGAAATACGGCTTATAGACATCGCCGCTAATCTTGGTTGTCGCCCTTTCTAAGAAACGGACAGTTGTCAATGTAAACAAATTTCCGTCATTCAGTTTAACCCTCCGATTAACATAAAAAACAAGATTACACAAAATGAATATGAGAAAATGTTGTTTTATTGATGTTTACATTGATAAATGCCCTTCATATTCTGTTAGAGAATAATGTTTAGTGCCTGATTTTTTAATAAACTTGTGTGCTTGGAAACAAAAGATTCAGATGTCACTCACTCACTCACTGATCTTTTTCTACCGTCAATCTGAAATAATTCTAGGAATTTCTGAGGGTCATGTTTTGTGTTGGGTAGAGTAATTTAATTTTGTTTTTTTTCTTGAGTTAATAAATCTCCAATGTTAAGCCTTGTTTCGAAATTTCGTTCGGTTCTGAGCATTTGTATTTCTAAAGTTGTTGGCCCCGGAAAAATAAAACGCATACGTAAAACATGTAGAATTGGATAAATACCGTCCAAGCACAAGGATTTAATGTATGTGTTTTGTATTAAATAAACATCATGAATCTGTTTTAAAATTTTATGCTATAATAGCGTCAAAGCACGTTTTTCCGTGTTATAACGTCTGCAGAGTCCCTCGGAACCTACCGGGCTCGGGCACCAACCATTCCTCGGGACTCTGCAGACGTTATAACACGGAAAAACGTGCGTTAACCCTATATTATAAATGGTTAAACACTTCCACTGTAGGAATATCATCTAAGTATGCCATGGTATTTTATAGTAGAATAAAGAATTGTTATGTACTAAAAGTTAAATACAGATAATTACATATATTTATGTAGAAACTGTTATTTAAATGAAACAATCAGTACAATGAAAGATTACAGTATTTTACCAAAAACCTGTTTGGAACCGAAAATGATTAGCCTATGCCTTCAGTATAGAGCAATGCCTTCTTTTAATTCCGTGCAATCTGACTAGGATCTATACTATTTGCTAATCAACTTAAAAAATTTAATTTAATATTCCCCTAATTGTAACTTGATACTCCCTTAATTGCTTAATGAAAAGTGGCAAAAATTGGAATTTGGACAAGTCAGTTTAAGAAAGTTAAGATAGTATTATTGTTTATTTTCAGGTGCATGCTGACCGTTACTATTCCGGTTACGTTGTTGCGCAGAAGGTCGGCATAAGTTCGCACCTGTTGTCACGGTTGACCGGCACAATTTATGTGACAGCTGGGGAGGCAGAGCTAGCTCGTGAACAGGCCAATCCACATAAAGTTAATGTAGGACTGAATCTGAAGTTTACTAAAAGAGGCGAGGAAGTTCCTGGGTATACTAAAAACACCGAAGGGCAGTGGACGTATTCAGACAAAGTTGTCGATGTTTTGTCCCAATATATGGATAAGTGAGTAAATATTGATAGCTTTCATGCCATTGATAATGAAATGTTCTCGGGACTTTTAACTTTATGCCACATACTTGAATAGTAAGATTTGTTAACAATTTTATAGTCAGAAGATCAGTGAATCTACCTAAATTTTAATTTCAAAATTTAAGATCAAATACTTGAAAAGTTTTGGAACATATAGATCTATAAATATGCTTTCTGTAAACCATGCTACCTCATTACTATTTAGGAAGACCTTTACCTTAAATGTAGGGGGACTAAATCATAAAGGAGGAATTATTTATATATAAAAGATTACGCTTGATGATCATTAAAAATGTATGCCATATTTATTCAAACCATTATTGGCAACTGCAAGGTGAAAGATTTCATACACATTTAATTAGGCTGGTTTGATTTCCATTGGTCTGACATTAAATAGATAACTATGATCATTTCAGGTTTCCAGAGATGTTTGAGAGTATTTCCAAATCAAACAAGCAGCATAATGATATGTACTACGAATCTGATCTCATACCTAAGACATGGTAGGTGCTGGGTTTCTATATAATTGAGCCGCGCCATTACAAAACCAACTTCAGACCAGCATATGCATCTGCGCACTCTGATCAGGATCTATGCTGTTTGCCTATAAACTATTACAAGTAGAGAAACTGATAGCGAACAGCATGGATCCTGATCAGACTGCGTGGATGCGCAGGCTGTTCTGGATCCATGCTGGTTGCAAACGCACTGTTGGTTTTGTCATTGTGCGGCTCATATTATAGTGTCTAAGAAACAAGTAATGAATACCAGTAGCAGCTAAAATGCCTTTTGAGGAAGGTGTTTGCTACTGGATTTGAAAACTGGACACTTTTTGTCGGCTGGCCTAACTAAAACAGGTCAATCATCTGTCAGATTTGTTTGACATGTTTAATGCAGCTAGGTTTTCTAAGATTCTGATGTCAAGTCAGAGTATTTATGTCTGGAAATATACTCCAAACTGACAAAAAAAATGTTTAGTATTTATATGATAAACATAGGTATTGCAAATTTTAAAAATGCTTTGACTATTACTATAAGGCAAATATGAATTTATTTCATGCAAAGTAAAATGTCTGTGACAGTTTCTGACAGTTTTACTAATGATAAACATTAAAGAGTCCATAATTTCAGCAATTTGCATGTTGGAAAAATAAAAAAAAGGGAGAGAAAAAAATAAATTGATTTTCTGAAAAATAAAATTGATTAAATATCTGCAAGTATCTTAATATTCTGGGAACTGCTAGTTGGAATATATATATGGTCTGTCAAATAACATTGCTTGTATAATAATTTATGTTTATGTTAATTTTAAATATTTGGAAATGTTGAAATGAAAAAAAAAATATGAATATAATATCCAATTTTTGAAGAATGTGTCATATATTTTGTAGTAGTCAAATAAATAATTTCTTTTTGTTTTTCATTTCAGCGATTACACTTTAAAAACTGTTGAAGAGTTTATTAAGAAGTTGCCATGCTCTGGGTTGAAAACTATGAAATCAGGGGCTGATATTATTAGTGAAGGAACTATAAAAGCACTGCAGGAACTGACTGACCAAGTTGTTGTAAGTATACCTTAGAAAGGTGGTTACCTTATGGTCTTGTGTAATAAGTGTACCTAAGAATATGTGCTTATCATGATATTGTGTGATTGTAGGACAAGGGGCATAATTCTGAAAGCAGTATTTTTGGAGTTGTGCATCTTTTTAACTTAATAGATGAGCATTGATATCGCAAACGTTGCTTTTGATGTTTTGATCTCCGTGGGATTGTCTGTATTACAATAATGACAAAACCAACATAGTGCGTTTGCGACCAGCATGGATCCAGACCAGCCTGCGCATCCGCACAGTCTGATCAGGATCCATGCTGTTTGCTATCAGTTTCTCTACTTGTTATAGACTTTGTAAGCGAACGGCATGGATCCTGATCAGACTGTGCGGATGCGCAGGCTGGTTTGGATCTATGCTGGTCGCAAACGCACTATGTTGGTTTTGTCGTGATGTGGCTCATATTTGGAAACATGTGGTTTTAATAATTGAAGTGGTGAATAAAAGTGATGATTTTTTTTTTTTTTTTTTTTACAGGAGGCAAACAAGAAAAGACAAAAAAGAGTGAAAATGCAAGTTAAGCCTCATCTACTTTATAAGGTAGTATATAGAATTATACCTGTTACACTCAAATGATGCAATAACTGTGTCCTTATGACTGATAACTATTTGGATATAAATTTTAATTTGAATAAAAATGAATAAATCATAAATTATATTAAGTGTGAAGTTTTTTTTTCTTGAGGGGGAAAAAGGCCAAAATCAGGACAATTTTTTGCATGACATCTATTTCAATGAGTAACTCATTTGACTGTACATTTTCTTTCAAAAGTTTGTAAAAATGTCAGCATTTTGAAGAAATTTCATGAATTATCAAAAGTTGTGTTACAATAATAGTTGATATTTCAAAAGTTCTACAGTTTATCTCTAGAAGCCTACAACTGGACAGTAGAAACCACTTATGATTGATTTCAGTTGCTGAAATTATGTTTTGATTGGGGGACTCCTTAAAACAATTTCAATGGACTCCTGAAAACTCAGAACATAAGTGTCCATTGAATTGACACACTGGCTGAAATTCCAAGGGAAAAACCCTGTTAAATGTTGAAATATATCAATGTTATCTTTCTTCCATACAAGTGTATTTTAAATATTATGTTTTCACTTAAAGCCGTCACCTACAAGCGGTTCACTGATTCCGGATCAGTCTGCCACCTACCAGCTCTATGACAGAGTTGTTAATACAAGACAGGGATTTCCGGTGCCGTTCGGTTTGCGGGGGACGGTTGTGGGAATACACCCGGCAGAGGTCGAGGTCAATACAATGTACGAGGTGATCTTTGACGATGATTTTCAGGGAGGAATTTCTATAAGGTAAGTACCTGACCTTAATGTTTGTCTTCTTTATCCTATGCCAGTGGCATCAGTTGTATAATGTAATATTCAGAATTACATCTGTTTAAAGTTTGGTGCTGAATGGTTGAATGTTGCAATATTAGAAGAGACCCTGAGCAAGTAATACTACAGTGAAACCTCTGAAGTGTGGCTCTCTTTTAAGAAATAAGCTCTTTGCAACAAACAATAGCAATTTTTTCCAAGAGTAAGTCTTCAATAAAAATTATACAACTTCTCACAGTAACAACTAAAATCTTCAATATTCCAAACAACATTGTTATGCAGAGGTTGTACTGAATTTGTTAAAGGTTTTCGCTTGGTTTTAATATAAAACAATGAAATTTATGATTTTTAGCTTGAAAATGTGGAGCTATTATGATAGGTGTATCATCATTGTCATGCAATATCTTTAATGGAGCCCATCATTTAAACATTAGAATATATCAACACATAACTTGCTATTCTTGGTTATCATGTGAAGGTGCAGTTGTTAAACAGGGGGCATTATTCTGAAATCTATATTTTTAAAGTTATGCACCTTTTTAGCTCGACTTTTCTATGAAAAGGGGAGCTATCCTCAGGGCCAAAAAACCCTTCTTTGTAGAGGCCGAATATAGGCTGCTTCCCCAACCAAACTAGCCTCTTTTTTCCCCAGTTTGGTCCTCAAAATTCCCAAGTCTTTTGACATTTCCCATAGAATTAAGAATAAAGTTAAATAATGGTGTTGAATTAAGGTCTTTTACTGCCTTATTTGTATTTCCCAGTGTTTTTTTGCTTTTCTATTTTGAAGACCTTGTTAAAAGTTTGTGTTAAATTTGAGACCCCTTTTCCCAAAGTATGCCAAAATCATGCATATTTTCCCCAAGAAAAAGGCTGAGGCCCCTTCCCCAAAAATGGTGTTTTGGCCCTGATCCTACTCGCCCCGGCGTCGGCGTTAGCGTTGGCGTCACACCTTGGTTAAGTTTTTCGTACCACCCCACTTTATTTCAGAAGTATTACAAGTATGGCTTTGAAACTTACCATACTTGTTCACCATCATAACCTCCATCTACAGACAAGAGTACATAACTCTGTCAAGGTTTTTGACAGAATTATGGCCCTTTTTTGACTTAGAAAGTGTATTGAGCTTGGTTAAGTTTTTTGTACCACCTCACTTTATTTCAAAACCATTGGAGGTATTGCTTTGAAACTGACCATACTTGTTTACCATCACGACCTTCATCAACAGACAAGAGGACATAACTCTGTCAAGGTTTTTGACAGAATTATGCCCCTTTTTGACTTAGAAAATACATTGAATATGGGTAAAATCCACTTATTGCCTTAACCCTTTGAGATATTGCTTTGAAACTTTTAATGCTATTTCACATCATTACCCCCATCTGTACGCAAGAGAAGGTAACTCTGTCAAGGATTTGTTTTAAAAATTAAGGCCTTTTATCGACTTAGAATCTTGGTTAAGTTTTTTGTACCACCTCACTTTATTTCAAAACCATTGGAGGTATTGCTTTGAAACTGACCATACTTGTTTACCATCACGACCTTCATCAACAGACAAGAGGACATAACTCTGTCAAGGTTTTTGACAGAATTATGCCCCTTTTTGACTTAGAAAATACATTGAATATGGGTAAAATCCACTTATTGCCTTAACCCTTTGAGATATTGCTTTGAAACTTTTAATGCTATTTCACATCATTACCCCCATCTGTACGCAAGAGAAGGTAACTCTGTCAAGGATTTGTTTTAAAAATTAAGGCCTTTTATCGACTTAGAATCTTGGTTAAGTTTTTAGTACCAGTCCACTTTTTGACTGAACTGTTTGAGATATTAATTTGAAAGTTGGAATACTTGTTTACAATCATGATTCCCAAACATGTCCAGGAGAAGGTAATTCTGTCAAAGATTTTATTTGAATTATGGCCCTTAACTGTCAATGTTTTGTATTATAGGCAAGCACTAAAAAAGTCGAGCGCGCTGTCTTACGGACAGCTCTTGTTAACTTTTTTTTTTTGTCGCCATGTAGTGCTCTTGCTAAGTCAAAATTTAACATTTTATTTTTTTTGCACACAAGTCAATTGTTATTAGTAATTACCCCAAAATTGACATGCACTGTTCCAAAAATAGACGCTGGTCAAGCCTATTTCAGAAATTTAGCAGTTTTAAAGCTTATTTATATGAATTAATCATTACAGAAATTCGTCAAAGAGAGGTTACCGAATGCCACCATCAGGATTGTTGAATATTACACATGGTGAACGTAAAAATGGTGTGAAATCTGCCATACAAATTCCTGTAGCAGCCAAGAAAACCCGCCAAAACCAGGGCCCCGCAACAAAAGAAATGTTACCAATATTTTTTGTTATGCTAATGCCCGTTTCCCCGAGACAACCAGGGCCTCACCAGTATAATCAAGGTTATGGAGGGCAACAAGGTTTTCAAAGAAATCAAGGTGGTTACCAAGGACTACCTGATAACAGAACAGGTCATTGTTGATGAAATTTGTTAGACTTCATTTCGAGTATTATCTTACAGTATAATGAAAGATTGAATATGAAATTTTCATTGCATTTCAAATAAACAAACTTTACAAAAAACGTCTAGAATTTAGCAATTATTTATATTTTTGTGACACATAATAGAAAAAGAGTTGTCTAAAGATAATTAGTGTGAAAAGTTGTTTTTGTTTAGTAGTTAAACTGTTCTAAACATGTAAATTAATTTTGTTTTAAATGCTTTTCATATTCATTGATTTTAAATTTTATCAGGCTTTGTAGTCACTCAAAGTGTGCCTTACAAACTGTTAAGGGGCCTTTTATGACCAAGTGGTTTCTGACTTCAAATCACTTGCCCCTCAATGCTGTGGGTTTGAATCTCGTCAGGGAATGTGAGAAAGCTTTTGAGTTATTGTATGGAAGGTCAATGGCTCTTACAGAGGTCCCTGCTTGTGTCTGAAATAGTGCACTTGAGGTCTTCTTCCTCAGTAAAGTGGCCTAATGTCCTTTTGGTGCGACCTTAAAAAAATCCAACAAAACAAACAAACCAAACTGTGTAAAAAGAGAAGTGCAGTCTATAGGTGTATCACAATTTAAAGGTCAATGAAAGAAATTGTAATAACCATATTTATATTACCTTTTTAGGTTACCATGACAACCAGTTTTCCAGGGGAGGTAATCAACAATGGGACAGGCAGGCTAGATCAGGAAATCAGGCTGGCTATTCGAGACAGAACGATCAATACGAGAGGCAGAATAATAGAAATACACAGGTATAAAATTGTATGAAAAGTTTCAGAACATCATCAGTCAAAGCTGTACTTCAGATGAAATTTTAGCTTGGCTGTAAGAACTTAGTGTGGCTGTCAAACTCACCTGTGTGTCAACATTACAATGTAGCTTAGTGGTGGCATGGAAAAGTGGTTAACATGTCAAACTAGTAATCTAATGATTGATAGCTGCATGGGCTAGGACCCTGTCAGGGGCAAGTTGTTTTTCCCTTAAGCAAGAAACTTTACTTTCAATGCTCAGTACTGATTGGTTCCAGGCACCTCATAGCTTCCTACACACTGACCATAGATATAGCATGGACATTTACTGAGCTATTCTTTGTTTTCATAATTCCTGAATTACCATTAAGAAATTAGAAAAGCAAAGTACACTGTCTGACTGACAGTTTTTTAATATATGTTCAATGATAGCCAATGATAGCCATTATGTTAAGTACATGCAATGTCAAAATTACTGAAATTCTTCAATCTAACAATCTCAGATTAGAGTATGACTCCAAGACATTCAAGGGAATACTACTGAATACACCAATTACGCTCTCTCAACCCAGTAAGGATCAATATTTTTGGGAAAAAGGTGAACAACCCTCAGCCGCTTCACTTTTATTTTATTAGCTTGTCTGTTTCAAAGAGAAAGTTTGGCTATTATGATTGCTGTGTTATAGTGTCAAACCTTTTAATGTGCCTGTTATTCAAACATTTATAAGTAAAGACATGGTACAGTTATCAAGACAATCAACATGAAATTTGGAATACTTGCTTATCAAGACAAGGTGCAGTTTTTAGAAAGGCGCATACTTCTGAAAGCATTTTTTTTGGATTTATGCCCCTTTTTAATATAGAATTTTTAAGAGACAAGCATTATCATTACGTGCAGTGCTCTTATTCAATGTTATGGTGATATACAATTTTTATGCCCCCACAATGTGGGAGCATATAGCGTTGCACTTGTCCGTCCATCCGTCAGTCAAAGGCCGAGCCAACATTTGATTATTATGAGCTTCATTCTGTAGTTAAATAAAGAACATAAACTCATAAAATTCAAATTAAGAGCTATTTTTTTGTTTTTTATGAGCTTATTTTGCTTATGGACGTTGGTCCAGGTGGTGTTTATGAGCTCATTTGCCTCATAAACATCAAATTTTGGTACGTCCGTCCGTACGTCCCGAAATCTTGTGAACGCAACTCCTCTTAAACCGGATGGCAGATTTTGCTTAAACTTACAGGGATGAACAACCTTAATGTGTAGATGGTAGTAAAGGAAGGAATTTTCGCTGCGACCAAATTTAACAGAATTATGGCCCTTTGTTGATTTTTTCACTAGATACTATGTAGAAATTTTGTGAACGCAACTCCTCTTAAACCGGATTGCAGATTTTGCTTAAACTTACAGGGATGAACAACCTTAAGGTGTAGATGGTAGTAAAGGAAGGAATTTTCGCTGCGACCAAATTTTACAGAATTATGGCCCTTGATTTTTTCACTATATACTATGTAGAAATTTTGTGAATGCAACTCCTCTTAAACCGGATGGCAGATTTTGCTTAAACTTTCAGGGATGAACAACCTTAATGTGTAGATGGCAGTAAAGGAAGAAGTTTTTGCTGCGACCAAATTTAACAGAATTATGGCCCTTTGTTGATTTTTAGTTTTCAACATGTGGCACATGTAGTCCAAAAAATATTTGACCTAGAGTCATAAGATTGACTGAACAGTGGCGTGTGGGGGCATCCGTGTCCTATGGACACATTTTTAGTTTTCTTTATTTTACAGGATACGAAGGAAGATGTATCAGGACAAGTGTTTAATGGAGCCAGTGCTGGAACCAGCCAACCAACATTTGTCACTCCTAAAGTCACTTCAGGGAACCAGTCAAAAAGGAAGTTGTCCACAGGAGAGTCCCAGCAGAATAAAGTATGTTTGCAAGTTTTGATCAGTAATATTTGTGATCATTTTTTTACAACATTTTTGCTTTAAAAATTTGAAAATAAAAGCATGACACAAGCAATTGCCTCTTAATACTGATAATGAAACGCAAATACACCACTTCAGATGTATACTTTTATGCATAAATAGCCCTAATGCACCTTTTTTAGTGCATTAACATCTACAGAAGTCCTCTAACTGAATAAATACCTCGCCCTGTAGACTAGGGCTTTTAATGCATTCTCGTGTTCCTGCAGATGCTAATGTACAAATCAAGTTGCATTAGCCCTCTTTATTTTGAGAATAATATTTGATATCAGCAGTTTAACTGATTATTATCATATCTTATATCCTTTAAATAATGAAAATAACTTTCTTTTATCTCCTGTTTAGCCTGGGAAAGGGCAGACTAGTGGAAGTACTGAATTTGACAACATATGGAAACAGTTACAGGCATCTCAACCACCAGCAGCAGATAACTCTAGTCAAGGACTGTCACTCTCATCAGCAGCTGCAGTATTGCCAAGAGTGCCTTCCCCTGATAATGCCAGTAAGGGAAGCAACTTGAATCAAAATAATACTAAAATTGATGTACAAAGCTTGTTTTCTGGAGCAAGCAATGCAAATGACACTAAAACCATTCAGCCAGGTGCTCAGAATGCTAAATCAGACAGTAAATCACAGTATAGTAGTTCTAAAGTAGTGTCTAACGATGAGTTTGCGGCCATGTTTAAATCTCTGGAAGAAGTTCACATATCAAAAGAAGAAAATGAAAATAAACCAGAGGTAAGTAATGATGTAAGCTAAAAATCCTGATTTCTGAATTTTTTAGGTTGTAGAAAACTATTTTTGTATATAAGGGTCCATTTAGCTTCAGAAATGACTCTCAAGTAAAGGTAAACATGTGTTTTATGATATTTTCATTATCAATTTAGAACATATTACAATGTACATGCTAATTTTCTGATTGTGAAATAAGTAAGTCAAAAAAGGTAGCAAAATGTAAACAAAGTAGTGAATAAATACTGAATTTCTTTACCAATAGGACAAAAAAGCAAAAGAAAGAAAAACATGTTTCAAAGAAATGGCAAATGAATACCATTTTAAAAACTGTATCAGTACAGTAAAAAGATAAAAAAGCTTTCAGTAAAAAAAAAAGATAAAAAAAACTGTCAAGACGTTGAAAATAAACATAACGTAAGGTCCTAAAATTCTGTAGATTCTTTTGTTGTTGTTGTTGTATATAAGTTTTATTTTGAGTTACTGAGTATGAAATTGTATAAATGTGTGAATTATGTTCTAAATAGAATGGCACAGATGCACTAAAGAAGATGCTAAATATAACTGACCAATCAGAATCCAGCAAAGGTTTGGAGGCTCCTGCAGATGGAGGGGGAGCAAGTAGTGGGGGTGGGGGGAAGAGTTATGGGAGACAAGTTTCTATTCAGGAATTGTTTGATGGTGAGTAAACCTTATATTGGTACATTCTGTTGCTACCTGTGAGGATAACAAATATGAAACTGTCGGTGTATTTCAGTTGTCAAAAAAAAAAAAAAATGAAAAGTCAGTTGTTTGTAACCTCATGTTCATTGAGAGCAAAACATATTACCATAGCAATTGCCCTGCAGTCCATTGTAAATAAAATTAATGTGTTTATTTAGATGATTCTTCAATGGAGAAAGGTGGCCATGTCATATGACAGTAAAATTGTATACAGAGGAAATAGGCGAAATGTATATGAGCATATTTGTTTGTTTTTCATTGAATTTTAAGTCACACCAACACTGTGAAGGTCAAATGGCAACTTTTGGCCTCTACTGAGACCTCAGTTGCCCCTGAACACATTATAATAGGCACATGCAAGCGCCAACCTGAACACTAGCTACATAAAAGAATTCAAAAGCCCATGATGGGATTTGAACCCACTGCATTGAGAGGCAAGTGGTTTAAAGTTGGAGATCTTAACCACTCTTCAACAGAGACTTTATACATGTACCTGCAAGACTACTTCAAGTAACATATTTTACTTTAAATCTTGATGGTATCCATTGTGAAGTGGTCAAGGTTGCTAATTAAGATTCAGATGTAGATTTTGTTCCATTGACATTGTGACCTTGAATTTATCATATGACCTTGAGTTTATGACCTTGATTAATACATGCAGGTGCCAAGAAGCAGCAGGTTCAGTCTGATGTAGATAAGTCACAGGAACAACAAAACAAAGGAAAGGGGTACCAGAAACAGAAGGGTCAAGGTCAACAGTCACCAAGGCAACCACAAGGTCATCAAGGTCAACAGCAAGGTTTTCAGAATAATGTACAAAACAAAAGACCAGCATTGTTGATACCACAGTCTAGAGGTGGTAACAGGTAATTTTATAATTTCTTTTTCTTCAGTCAAAGAATTAAAAGTCTGGCTGTTTTGCGAGTATTTTTATAATTGATCTCTTATATAATGTCACAAAAGTATTTAGTTTTAAAGAATTCCTTCATGTTTAATAACTGAAAGAAGAGTGTGTTCCTATTGTAAAAAAAATTAATGAAATCTATTCATTCTCAATCTGTTGACAATTTGACAATTTTTAATATTTCATCATTTCAGAGGTTGTGCTACATTTCTTAAAGGTTTAACTTGTCTGTTTCGAAGAAAATTCTAGTATGATCACCGAGTTGTTGTTAGTGAAGTTGTTGAACGAGGGGCATAATTCTGAAAGCTATAATTTTTTTAATAGTTCCCCTTTTTAGCTCACCTGTCACAAAGTGACAGGGTGAGCTTTTGTGATCGCTTTTCGTCTGGCGTCCATCCGTCGTCTGTAAACTTTTACTTTAAATGACATCTCCTCATAAACCACAAGGCCAATTTCATCCAAACTTCACAGGAATGTTCCTTTGGTGGTCACCTTTAAAAATTGTTCAAAGAATTTAATTCCATGCAGAACTCTGGTTGCCATGGCAACCGAAAGAAAAAACTTTAAATATCTTCTTTTAAAACACCATAAGAGCTAGAGCTTAGATATTTGGCATGAAACATCTTCTAGTGAGTGTCTACCAAGTTTGTTCAAATAAAAGCCCTGGGGTCAAAATTGGCCCGCTCCGGGGGGTCATTGATTTTCCCTATATGCATATAGTAAAAACTTAAAAAATCTTCTTTTAAAGAACTCAAAGAGCTATGGCTAAGATATTGAGCATCAAACATGTTCTAATAGGTGTCTACCAAGTTTGTTCAAAGAAAAGCCCTTGGGTCAAAATTGGCCCCGCCCCAGGGGGTAAATGATTTTCCCTATATGCATATAGTAAGAACTTAAAAAATCTTCTTTTAAAGAACCAAAAGAGTTAGAGCTAAGATATTTAGCATGAAACATGTTCTAATAAGTGTCTACCAAGTTTGTTCAAATAAAAGCCCTGGGGTCAAAATTGACCCCGCCCCGGGGGTCATTGATTTTTCCCTATATATGCATATAGTAAAAACTTAAAAAATCTTCTTTTAAAGAACTCAAAGAGCTATGGTTAAGATATTTAGCATCAAACATGTTCTAATAGGTGTCTACCAAGTTTGTTCAAATAAAAGCCCTGGGGTCAAAATTGGCCCCGCCCCGGGGGTCATTGATTTTCCTTATATGTGTATAGCAAAAACTTAAAAAATCTTTTTTGAAAAAACCCAAATAGCTAGAGTTAAGATATTAAGCATGAAACATCTTTTAGTGAGTGTCTACATAGTTTGTTCAAATAAAAGACCTTGGGTCAAAATTGGCCCCGCCCTGGGGTCATTGATTTTCCTTATATGTGTATAGCAAAAACTTAAAATCTTCTTTTAAAAAACCCAAATAGCTAGAGTTTAGATATTAGGCATGAAACATATTCTAGTAAGTGTCTACAAAGTTTGTTCAAATAAAAACCCTGGGGTCATAACTGGCCCGGCCCCAGGGGTGTCATTGTTTTTAACTATATGTGTATAGTAAAAACTTTAAAAAAAATCTTCTTTTAAATAGCCCAATGAGCTAGAGCTTAGATGTTTAGCATGAAACATCTTCTTATGGGTGTCTACCAAGTTTGTGCAAATAAAAGCCCTTTGGTTAAATTGGCCCTGCAACGTTTTGGGGGGGGGGGGGGTTGGAGGGGCCTATATACAGGTGAGCGACCTCAGGGCCATCATGGCCCTCTTGTTTAACTTATATTTTTTATCAAAATTGGTTATTGATATAAGCTATCTGTCATATAATGCGGTTCGGGTTGGAATATCCTTCCCCAGATGTCTCGCCCATGGGCGGGTCACCGAGGGACGGATATTCCAATCCTAACCGCAAATATATGTCAGATATTTTTTCTTGCATATTATACCATATTCCATTATATTTAAAATTCTTTAACTTTATTTTCTATGAAAATTTATATCATTACAACCGTAACTACTTTCTAACAACAGCGTACAAATTACAACTTCATTCATAACGGTCAAATGACGTCATCCTAACCGTGCCATTGTACAGCACGCGACTCATCTGGAACCCCCCATGCCAGATGAAATTTCCGGCATGGGTTAAACTCACGGAAACGCCAGTCTGATATGCAAGAAAGTTGTTTTCCTTAACAGGCAAGCGTAAACACGCCATACAATGCTCTTGTTTTCATCTTTGACTATTGTGTGGCTAGTATATATATATTTTGTTTGTTGTAGGAACCCAGTAATGGAGCTGATGAGCTTCTGCCAGTCTTTACAGATGGGTCTACCCATGTATGATTATATACCAAAGGTAAAACACTATGATGATTATTTTGTTTTCCTCTTGTGGTACAATTATAAAAGTTAAGAAATATACTTGGGTTAAAAGCATTGTGGTCATTTTTAACAATTTGAATAATTATTCTGGAATAACTTAGTTAGCAAGTGATTTGTCATATGAAGACAAGATTGGTAGAACTGTGCAAAAATAAGAGGTGGGTATTACAAAGAATAATAATATTGCGATATTTACAGATATATTGTTATTTATTATATATTTAGAAATGAAATATTGAGAAATATTGATGAAATAAAATGCATATTTTCATTTTCCGTATTTTCACTGTAAAAATTTATTTTTCACTGCAGTGAAACATATTTTCCGTATTTTCACTGGTGTCTTGCCGGACTACTTTCTTTTAAATTCTGCCAGTACACAAAATTTAAGGGAAAGTCTTTCAAATTTTAATGTCAAAAAAGAGGAAAATGTATATAATAAACAGAAAATTCAAGTTTTTTCTATAAATACATGATTTTTTTTCATCTTGTGGCATGAAAATTAACATATTTCACTCGTGGCTACCGCCACTCATGAAATATTTATTTTCATACCACTCGATGAAAATAAATCATGTATTTATAGACAAAACTTGAATATCCTCTATATATTGAAGACTATTTATAATACTTGAAAATCAAGGGCAAGACCTATAGAACCTTGACTTAAAGAGTTAATCGTTTAATATTATGTCCCAATGAATAGTTTGTGACAGGCCCTTTAATAAAAGATTAATAAAAACGATTGTAAATAAAGGATTTGACAACTTAATGTTAATGCCATTTGAAGTCAAGCTAAAACAAGTTGACTATAATAATGATTTTATTAAAAGGTTAAAGTGTCAATATATTACTATATCTGAAAACATATTGCAATATAATAGTGCCAGATAAATATTGCGATGTCCAATATATTGCGATATATTGCACAACCCTACCAAAAATAAATTGATGCTATTATATGTGGAAACTGGAAATGGTATGCTTTGAATTGGACAGTGCTAAGATTAAACTGTATGACTAACAAAGAAAAAAAGCATGTAGCTTTTAGTTCAAGATGTAAATACATGTTCAAAATAAGGGTTTTTTGTTAGAAATACTAGAAATATTTTTCAGATATTTGTTAATGGTTGAAACTGTATGACTATAATGATGATGTTAATATTTCAGAGTGGGGTATTCTACTGTGTAGTGTCACTGTTTAACGGAGCCAGATTTCAGGGATCATTGTGCAAGACAAAAGAGGAGGCAGCAGAATCTGCGGCCAGTGTTGCCTTACTACAGCTGGTATGTAATATATGTTAATATTTGAGCCGTGTCACGACAAAACCAACATAATGGGTTTGTGACCAGCATGGATCCAGACCAGCCTGCGCAGTCTGATCAGGATCCATGCTGTTCGCTGTCATTTTCTCTACTTGTAATAGAGCTGGTAAGCGAACAGCATGGATCCTGATCAGACTGGGCAGATGCGCAGGCTGGTCTGGATCCATGCTAGTTGTAAACCCATTATGTTGGTTTTGTCGTGACGCGGCTCATTTAATTAAGGATTTAACTCACTACAGTATTGGAGCAGTACCTCTAGACGCTTGCAGAAATCATGATCACAAACTAGACAAATCACAATATTTGCAGATTCTTACGTTTTTCATTCATGATCAATTCTTACATTTTCCATTCATGATTGTTTTTAAATCCATTTGAAGAGATGAATTAGACATCTTAAAGTGCATTTTGGTGGTTGAAAAGGCAAGAATTTATCATTTAATCATTCAAGCACCGTTTCAGTGTCCATACACTGGAATATGGTATTAAGTGAGTCACACTCATAAGTTAAAGGGTATAAAGATATAACTAATAAACATTTTCATAGAATATTAATACTAAACTTTAAAATTTATCTAGCAATAATTTTTGTTAAAATGCTGAAAACAACAAATTCTTTGACAGTTGTACAGATACAGAATTATATACTTGTGTTTTATTTTGAGCAAGTGTGTGTTTTAATTTTAAGAAAGACAAAATTTTGTTAAGATCAATACTGGTACATGCACTGATCATATAAAGTGAAATAAAAAAGACAAAACTCCATCATGGAAAGGAATTAATAAGTGTTATGCTTGTTTTCCATTCCATATATATTGTGATGTTCCAGGAAGGGATTCAAGAGTGTTTCAATAAGCTTATAGCTTCCAATAGCTTCCAACACAATCAAACTAAAATACAGAAGTATAAACTAAGGGACATTACTCTAAATGTTTTAATATTTTATCATACAGAAAGGCAGCATGCAGCAGATGGCAGCTCACCCGATGATGCAGATGCCAGGTTTTGTACCCGGAGCTCTGCCACAGGGGAGACAATTCTCATCTCCAAATTCTGCCTTCAGTCCTGTTAACACTTTTCCAGGTATTTTGTTCGTCATCTATTGATTATATAATTGTGCCATGATTTTTTCCTTGTTTTTCATCTATTTATGACGTTAATGTGCCTAGATTTTTTTGTCAGGAGAAAATTGTTTTTCAGCCTTTGATAATCTAAATGTGCTAGGATTTTTACTCAGAGGGGATTGTTTTTGTCTTTTATAACCTATATGTGCCAGAATCTTTTCCTTGGAAGGAAAAGTGTTGAGTGGGTGGATTCTGAATTAAATAAGGTAGTTACATAATAAAGTTGATTTATGAATTTTAATTCCCAGTCTTGTCTCATAGTACAATAGGATATTTTATTTTTTAATGCATTTGATTTAGTAGGAGGTCTTTAAGAATGGTATTCCCTATTTTTGTTTGTTGTAGCTTTTATGTTGTGAATCTACTTTATTAAAGGAAAGTCATGGTCTTATTTATCCATTTTTTGTGAAAAATGGCTGTTTTCATTTAAAAGCCTATTGTTACAAGTTCAAATTGCTATGAAACTATAAAAAAGGCTTCAATACTGTTCAAAACTTGGCACAAATGTTGACTGGACTATAGCCTTTGAGAGAGGATGTCACCGAAAAAGTGATTACTTTTTTAACACCATATCTCAAAAGAAAACAAGTGTTTTGGTCTAAATAGGGCATTTTTTCACTATTTGCGGCCTCAAAAAGGGGGGGGGGTGAAAAAAGCCTTCAAACAAGTCTATATGAAGTAAAGGGTTATTTGGTAAATGCACTATACTTTTCTAATGAAAGTGTCTTTACAAGGAGAATATAAATCTGTTTAAACAATGTTGATAAAGTGTTAGCAGACGTAAATGTTAGCAGATCTGAATTGTCTGAAATGGAAAATGTAAAAAAAAACTTTGATTCACATAGAAACTTTTGATTTATAGCTCCAGGAATTTATCAGGGAAACAGAGGTCAAAGCCCTAGAGGTTACCATGGTTACGGGCAGCAGCAGCAACAGAGACCTTTTAGTGGGGGTCAAGGTCAAACTCATTACAACAGGGGAGGTTACTCTAGACAACAAAATAATTCGGCCAATCAGCAGCAAGGAAGAAATCAGACATACCAAAATCCTGCTCAAGAGATGACAACCAGTCAGCAGCAAGGAAGAAATCAGACATATCAAAATCCTCAAGATCTGTCAGCAAATCAGAATCAAGAAAGCAAAACCGATGAAAGGTCACTGTTCAACAGTCAAAAACAAAGTAAAGATGTGAAAACTCAACCCACTTGTGTGGTTACACCTTTTGTTCCAATGCAGGTACTAATAAAAAATACTAATTCTTGAAGACTTAAGGAAAAGCTCACAAATTGAGAGAAAAACCATAGTAATTTGTCTTCTTTACAAAACTTGAAATCTGGGTTCATTTAAAGAAATTGAAGGACATACATAAGCTGTATTTTTTCACAGATTTCTGAAAGTGAAGTCTCTGTTTCGTCTAAATTTGTTACGTGTTTAGAAGAGCAAATTTGCTAAATGATTTCAAATCATACTGCTGAGTTAATTTCGAAAAGGGACGATGGATATTTATATATTTGAGAAGCTGATGGTGACGCACTTCATATAATATATTCCACATCTTGTCCTGCTTGTTCTTGTAAGAATTTAGTATTATATCAATCAGTCACTATGTAACATGTTATATTCCGCAAAGAAAATAACTAATTGTTTTATCACCTATTCCTAACATTATTTTTCTGGGGAAGTATATAGTTGCTGCCTGTCATTCCTTTGTTTCTTCATTTTGAGGGCTTAGTGCAAAAGGGTTGTAACCCATATGTCATAAAAATGGAATTACAGCCCTTTCACACCAAGCAGTCGATTTATTCCTTTTGTCCTGTCACTATTGCAAGCTTGACTATTTGGGAGAGCTAGTGTACTAACCAAAGTATGGGCGTCACATGTTGGATAATATTTTTGCCTGCAAGTTGGGATCTTGAAAACTCAATTATTGTAGATAATAATTGGAGGCCACTGTCCAAGACCCATAACTCTAACATGGATTTTGACAAAATTATTGCCCTTTTTTTGAATTTAGAAAATTCTGCATTAACTAGGCTGTTGTTGTACTATAAAGCTTTACCAATAGTTGAGTGGGCTGACCCACTGACAGCTCTTGTTAGTTTTTTAATTGATTAATCAGTATATTTGACATTACTTATTGAGGCATGTTGCATGGACTCAGATGTTTTGATAGGATTGAGGTCCTAACATATGGTCAAGGGCCGAGAAATTGATATATAGTTTATATACTGGTTAGTTATCCAGTTTTTTCCTCAATGTATTGTATCAATGCATTTGCTTTTGATGCTGGTACCCAGAACATTTTCTTTGAAGTCGCCACTTTGAAATAACTGAACCAATAATGTTACACCCATTTATTTACTAAAAAATTAATTATTAAGTCACAATGTTCATTTTATAACATGGATATAGAGCACAGAAATGGCTTAGATTAAAAGTATGGTACAATTTCATTAAAAAAAAAAATATCCTGTAAATTTGAAATACACAAATTAAAAAAAAAAGTTAGCCATAACTTCTTACGGCTACAAAGTTCAGAAATTTTGCAAATTGCATTCTCTGTAAAAGAAATCTGCTCAAAGCATCATGTTTTATTTGTTTGATAGTTTGACTTATACTTAATGAAGAGTTCTTAACTTTATTTTTCTATTATTTGTATGTAAAATCTTTTAACAGTTTATTAATCTTTTATAATTTATAACATAAGGTAACTTTAGTTTTTTTTATTGTATTTTATCATAATCTGTGTTTTGTAGTATGTTTTGCAATATGGAACTGTAACCAGAAACACAAAAATGAAAAGTTAAATTTGCTATGATTTCTGAGGCATAATGGGCCTTTAAGGAACCAGTTTTTATGCAAGAAACTAAGATTAAACATATAGATGCTCACAGTTTGTTGTATGTCGTCTTTGTTTCATTTCAGGTGACTCGGAAACATACACCACAGAAAGCGAGGAAAACTTCCGTCTCTGACGACAACACTTCTCGCATCGAGGAAGAAACGTTAGAAAAAAGGGGAGAGAACATACCTGTACGTGAAGTAAAGGGAGATAACTCTATGCAATCTAACAAACCGAAAACTGATTCTAGTGAAACCATTTCTAGTAAACCAGATCCAAGTAATTCTAGGACAGAACGAAAAGAGTCAGGTAGTACTGATAGTACAAGTCCAAAGACAAAACAGTCGACGCCTCCAAGTCCAAAGACAAAACAGTCGACGCCTCCAAAATCAGCGAAAAAAACGGAAACAGGGTCGGCGAAAAAATCTCGAAGACGGTTAGCGGCTAATTTTAATGTGAAACCGTAAAGTGTAGTTTTGAATAGATTTTCCTATTCCAGTGTTTGAAACACATTTTAGAGATTTTATTTATATTTTAGATATTCATATTTTTCCAAGAAGGATAGTTTCTATAATTGTTTAGATAAAAAAAAATTGTGCCACTTTTATAGCTCCTTGCAATGCCACTTTTATAGTTCCTGGCAAAACTAATGAAATGTTGGAAAAACTTTTGTTTGATATGAATTATACAACAGAAGATATACAGACACTGACTGCATTTATTTGTCTTTAAAATAATTACACCTGTACAGGAAAAGCAGGGTGTTTTTTGTTTCCTTAAGAGTATTTAAGTTCCAGTTATTTTACATGAAGACATGTTTTTAACAAAGGTGCTTTGCTACATTGAGAACAAATAGTTTGTTTTAAAAAGTTTTGATGCTTTTCAGCTCTATTTTAAGAATAGTCAGCTCTAACTATTCAATGAAGAGTGAGGCTATCCTAACCCATCTGGGTATTTGCACTAGTGTAACATTTCTGGTTAAATTTTAGTTGCAACTTCTTGCACAACTTCCCATCCTATCAGCCACTGAAGATATCTAAGATTGTAACGTATAATAGGTGTGGAGATCATAATTGGAGTCTCTGTTCAAGGCTCATAACTCTAGCATTAATTTAGACCAAATAACTGGCCCTTTGACTATGAGACCTTAGAAAAGTTGTGCATGCAACATCAGTATTCAATCCCATAACTAGCATGGATTTTGAATGAAAATGACCTTTTTGTGAACTAACAAAACTCCCTGAGTCACTTTTCAAGAGTGGTAACTAAGTTAAGCTTAGTCATAAACATGTATTTTGAGTGAAATGTGTCTCATTGTTCTATGGTCTTATTTAGTATTAAGCATTGAGAATACTTTCAAAAGTAGTTTGCATTGTTATATTTAACGTATTTAAATTCTAGAAATTAATAATAAGATACCTGGTTTCGGTGTGTTTTAAAGGGCTGACCCTGTTTATAATAGAACCATAAGAATAATGGTAAAACACTGCCACTCCCTTCCTGTCTGTCTGTTTTTAAAGTGAAACTTTATTTTATTTTTTAAATAAACTGCAAAATAGTTAAACAAAACATTTATTTGTTTTTGTTCAGTTAAATCACTGTGAAAAATAGACGCTACATGTAATTTTTCACTATTATTAGGCAAATCTTCATATTAAAGTTTTGAAGTGTCATGAATGGAATAGAATCTGCAATTTTCAGTTTGTATTCAATTTGTTTTATTTATGTGACATAATAAAATAGTTTTGTTACATTTACACCTAGTATTTGTTTTTTATGGATGTTATAAGCTGGTTTAATAGAAGAATAGGGAGAGAGTAACTGTACTCACCCAGGTGTCGGCGTCGTTCATTTTGCAGACTCGAGTTGGTACATGTATCTCTAAAACTACTGAAGGAAATTGGTTGAAACTTCACACATTGTTTTGACTGCACAATAAGATCACTGTCCAAAACCTGTAACTCTAACATAGATTTTGACAGAATTATGGCCCTTTTTGAATTTCTGTATTATCCAGGCTCTTGTTTTACTGTCAAGCACAGAGAATAGTCGAGCATGCTGTCCTACTGTCTGCTCATATTTTCTATGGCTATTATTCTTTATAGATTTGTATTAAAATAGTTTTATGGTAACTCTTTAGCTCGCCAGAGCCAAAGGCTCAGGGTGAGCTATTAGTATCAAAGGGGGATGCTCCGGCGTCCGTTGTCATGCGACAACAATCGTCTTCTTCTATAGAAATAATTGATGGATGATCACCAAACTTTGTCTGTACCATTCTTAGGTAGTCTTTTATCAAGTTTGCTAATATTATTTTGATTGGCCCCTTTTAGGGGTCTCTAGGGCTAAAAATAGAAAAAAACTTTTAAACATATTCTCCTACAGAACTAATTGATGGATGATCACCAAACTTTGTCTGTAGCATTCTTGGGTAGTGTTTTATCAAGTTTGCTCATATTAATTTGATTGGCCCTTTTTAGGGGCCGCTAAAGCTAAAAATAGAAATACCGTTAAATGTCTATTTCTAGAGAACTAATTGATGGATGATCACCAAACTTTGTCTGTAGCATTCTTGGGTAGTCTTTAATCAAGTTTGCTCATATCATTTTATTTTGATTGGCCCCTTTTAGGGGTCTCTAGGGCTAAAAATAGAAAAACCTTTAAACATCTTCTCCTACAGAACTAATTGATGGATGATCACCAAACTTTGTCTGTAGCATTCTCAGGTAGTGTTTTATCAAGTTTGCTCATATTAATTTGATTGGCCCCTGTTAGGGGCCACTAAAGCTAAAAATAGGAAAAACCTTTGGACATCATTTCCTACTGAAATAATTGATAGATGATCACTAAACTTTGTAGCATTCTTGGGTAGTCTTTTATCAAGTTTGCTCATATGAATTTGATTAGCCCCGTTTAAGCTAAAGCTTAAATGTCCCAGGTCATGGCAATTCTTCAAATTACTGTTTTAACATATTCTATGCCCAAATTTACTAGTAATATTAGAATATATTGACATTCCAACACTGAAAAGCAGTTGTTTCTGGTGAGCGACTCAGGACCATCATGGCTCTCTTGTTAGAATTAAGATACAAATCAGCCCAGTTGCTGTCAAAAATTGTGTTTGTTTCATTACTGTATAGCTATCACATTACCGCCTCCGTGGTCGAGGGGTTAGAGTCGATGACTTCTATTCCAGTTACCTCTCTGGCGTGGGTTCGATCCCCGGGAGATGCTTTGGTAGTTTAGCAAGGAGGAAGGTAGTCTAGTACTGGTGTAACTCTCCAGGAACGATGGTTAGGAAACTACCTGCCTATATGACTGAAATACTATTGGGAAAAGGCGTAAAATGAAACAAACAAACAAACAGCTATCTCATTGCTGAAAGTGGGTGAATGATTGCTAAACTGTAGTAAGTCCTTTTTTTCAAATAAGTTACTGCAGTTTTGCACTCAAACTTCTTATAGTTACAGAAGCTTTCAACCAGACCACCTACATTATCTGGGTCCGAGGTTATAAATTATCTAAAGCTCAAACATCTCATGTATTTGATTGGAAAGAAACTGTCGCAGAATGTTAACTGACCAATGAAAATTGTTAGATTTGAGACAGTAGTTTGGAAAAAAAGTTTTGTAAACTTGAGGCCTGAATTGTGAAAAAACTGAACCTACACAATGGATTTATTTGTTTCGTTGTCGACATAGGAACCATGTAACATATAGAGAAGGTAAATGTCCTTATAAAACAGGTAAAGATAGAAAAATAAAAGTGTAGATATATATAATATTTCTACCTGATATCAATGTACATTTGAAGAACTGCAAAATAATCATGATTCGTGTGGTATTAATTATCTTGGTTTTCGTAGTGAGGCCAATGCAGGATTTCAAGATCCAACGTCATTTTACTTTGTATGCTGTATGAAAGTTTCCAATTTCATTTTTGTTTTTGTTTGTGTGTTTTTTGTGCATAATCAGACAAGCCATGAATTTTGAAGAAATTCACGAAAATGTCATATTGACAAAACTCCATGAAATTAAGTGAATTTACAATAACTTAAAAACAATAAGTAATTTAGTAACGGATTTATAAATCATGTATTAAACCTTAACCCCCTATATTCAAAACCGGCCGGAAATAACATTATAATCATACAGTATATATATATATATATATATATATATATATATATATATATATATATATATATATATATATATATATATATATATATATATATATATATATATATATATATATATATATATATATATATAAATATATATATATATAATGGTTTTTCCACTTGCGTTAATCACTATGCAATGATGCATTACATAAATATTGTTAAAAACGCAGTTTCGTAAGGTAGAGCGGAAGAGGAAAATGAAGTAAACAGTTTTACAAGTTCATAAAATCGGTGAGTTACAAGATTATTATGACACTTATATTGACTTCTTTACAGGCAGTATTTTCACAATAGTTACTTTTAAATATATTTTCAAGATTTATGGTGCTCACTTAACAAAATTAATATTGACAGGAATCGTTTCGTATAAGTTTTGTGAAATATGCTGTGAACAAGCCGACGTTTACTATTATCATTATTATTATTATTATTATTATTATTATTATTATGCTGTTTCTTTCTACTTTTTCTGCTACCAATATTGTATGCCATGATTTTTTAAGGAGACTACAGCAAGCAGTGTAACAATACTTTAATACAAAGGAAAGACTTTTAAAATCATTTATTCCAAAGGAAACATAATACAGTGAACAAAATGATGCTTTTCATAAGGTGAAATGCTAATTAATTCAATGTACCGGTTTATTTATATGTGACGATGCGTGGGAAAATCACATCGTATTTTATCGTTTGGAAAAATCTATCATGATAAAGCAATTTATGTAGTGAAAGTTATTCGTAGTGTACAAAAATCCTTACATGTTTACATTAAAATACTTATGAAGAGATGTGTTAAAACATCGTGGGTGCACTAGTTCAATTTCAATTAAGTATATGTACATGTATATGATTTCCTTCAGCGTATGCATTGGGAAAATACCAACTAATTAGTCAGTTGCATAATACTAAAAGGCTAGTTGCGTGATATAAAGAGGTCAGTTGCATGATGCTAACTGCTCGATCAGTTGCCTTATACTTGACGGCCAGTAACATGATACTAATCTGTCTTTTGCGTAATAATCGGTTCGTGGCATAACATCATACAGTTGCGTAATACTTATGGGTCAGTTTGCATGATAATGATTAAAACAAATCCATTCCATATGTTAAAACATCTAAATATTTAATTTTTTTTTTCAGTTTTAAGGAGTGTCCGAAGTAAGCGTTCCACATACACTCGCAAAAGTATATATCTTCAGCGTCTTTGCTGGATTATCCTCATAAAGAGCATCGTTTTAGAAATCACAAGAAAACACAATCAATAATGGCTTCAGGACAATATTTTTATACAATCGATCTCCAGATGATACGTCATTCGTATAACAACGTCAGTTGCAACACTTCTCGGTTTATAACAAAGCGTGTTGAAAGTGCTATTATAAATGCGGTTGAAAACACTGAGGGATTTTTAGACACTATATCAGCTTTACATAAACTGACGAATACATTACTGTCACATGAGACGTATCCCCAA